GTGTCCTTGGGCCGTGCGCTGGGGTCCCGGTCCCGGGTGGGCGTCTCCATCCGTCGTCTCGGTGTCCTTGGGCCGTGCGCTGGGGTCCCGGTCCCCGTCCAGGCGAGGCGGCCCAGCCTCGTCCCCCGGCCGCTCTGGCGGGTCCGGCGCCCCCCGCCTGAGCCGCGTCTCCTCTGTCCCCACGCCAGGGAAGGACCGGATCATATTCGTGACCAAAGAGGACCACGAGACGCCCAGCAACGCCGAGCTGGTGGCCGACGACCCCAATGACCCCTACGAGGAGCACGGTGAGTGGCCTGGGCCCCGGGGCGGGGAGCGCGGAGTCCTCTCTCTTTCGAGACAGAGCCTCGCTCTGTCCCCGGGCCGGAGCCGTGGCGTCGGCCTCGCTCACAGCAGCCTCCGACTCCTGGCCTCCAGTGAGCCTCCCTCCTCGGCCTCCCTCCCGAGCAGCTGGGCCTACAGGCCTGCGCCCCCACGCCCGGCCCCTTTTTTCTGTATATTTTTAGCTGTCCAATTACCTTCTTTGCATTTCGAGTAGAGACGGGGTCTGGCTCTTGCTCAGGCCGGCCCCGACCTCCTGGCCCCGAGCGGGCCTCCCCCCTGGGCCTCCCGCTCCGCGTGTCTGTCCCCGGCGGGGCGCCCGCTCACTGCGCCCGCCGTGTCCCGCTGCAGGGCTGCTGCTGCCCAACGGCGACATCAACTGGAACTGCCCGTGCCTGGGCGGCATGGCGAGCGGGCCGTGCGGCGAGCAGTTCAAGTCGGCCTTCGCCTGCTTCCACCGCAGCGCCGAGCCCGTGAAGGGCGCCGACTGCGTGGGCCAGTTCCGCGCCATGCAGGAGTGCATGCAGCGCTTCCCCGACCTCTACCCGCCCGAGGACGACGGGGACGACGACGCCGCGGACGCGGACGGGGACGGCGGGGAGAGGCCGGCGCGGGAGGCCGCCGCCAAGGAGGAGGAGGAGGAGGAGGAGGAGGCCGCCCGCTCCTGAAGGCCCGGCCTCCGCGGGCGCCGGGACCACGGACGGGACGGGCCCTGCAAAGCGCCCGCCCTGCGCCTCCTCGGCCTTGGCCCCGGCCTGCGCAAGGTGCACGGCGCCCGCGTGCTCGGGGACACGGGCGCACGCACAGCCCGGCGGCGCGGGTCCCAGTCGCTCCCGGCCTCGCCCCGCGGGCCCCGGTCTCCGCGTGACGAGGCCTGGGCCTCCCGCCTCGGGGAGGGAGGCCGGCCTCGCGCCCTGCAGCCCGGACGGACCGCGCTGGCCGGGCCGGGGCACAGCCGACACCCGAGGCGGGTCCACTGACTCTGAGCCTGCCCTTTGTTTCCAGTCACCAGACATATTTTTATGTGAAGAGATAATAAATTATGAAAAGTTAAATCGCAGTTCTTCTCTCAAGGCGCCGGTAAGCCGGCGTGAGTCTCAAAATCCTCTACATTGAGGCCGGGCGCGGAGGCCCACGCCTGTCGTCCCGGCGCTCCCGGAGGCCGAGGAGGGAGGATCGCTGGAGGTCAGGAGTTGGAGGCCGGCCTGAGTAAGAGCGAGACCCCGTCTCTACTCAAAATATAGAAAGAAATTAATTGGCCAGCTAATATATATAGAAAAATTATGAACCGGGCGTGGAGGCGCATGCCTGAGTCCCAGCTACTCGGGAGGGAGGCTGAGGCTGGAGGATCACTTGAGGCCAGGAGTTGGAGGCTGGAGCCCCGTAGGAAAGAAACCACTGGCAAAGTTTTTAACCATCAGAGTGACATGAGATTTGACTCACTCTTTCCCCCTCCCCTCTCCTGCCCTGCCCTCCTGTCCCCTGCCTCCTGTCCCTCCCTCCCTCCTGTCCTCCCCTCCCTGCCTCCCTGTCCTCTGCCCTGCTCCTTGTCCTCCCTCGCCTGCCCTCCTTCCCTCCTCCCTGCCCCTGTCCCTCCCTCGCGCTGCCCTCCTGTCCCCTCCCCTGCCCTCCTGTCCCCTCCCCCCCTGCCCTCCTGTCCCCTCCCCTCCCCTGCCCTCCTGTCCCCTCCCCTCCCCTGCCCTCCTGTCCTCCCCTCTCCTCTGCCTCCCCCGCCTCCTCCTCCCTCTCCTGCTCCCCGCCCTCCTGTCCCTCCCCTCCCTGCCTCCTGTCCCTCCCCTCTCGCTGCCTCCCGCCCATCCTGCCCCATCCCCTTCCTGCCCTCCTCTGTCCCTCTCCCCCGCCCCTGTCCCCTCCCTGCCCCGCCCTCCTGCCCTCCCTTCGCCGCCCTCTGTCCTCCCCTCGCCCGCCCTCCTGTCTCTCTCGCTCTGTCTCTCCCCGCCCTCGCTGCCCCTTCCCCTCCCGCCGCCCTCCTGTCCCCTCCTCCCGCCCTCCTGCCCCTCAGCACTTCTCCCGCCCTCCTGCCCCTCCTTCCCCGCCCTCCTGTCCCTCCCTCTCCCGCTCTGTCTCTCCCGCCTCCTGTCCTCCGCCCCGCCCTCCGTCTCTCCTGCCCTCCGCCTCCCTCCCTGCCCCGTCTCCTCCCCTCCTCCCCTCTGTCGTCTCTCCTGTCCTCCTCTCCCCCGCCCTCCGTCCTCCTCCCCTCGTCCCTCCTGTCCTTCCCTGTCCCTCCCTCCCGCCTCTGTCCTCCCTCCTGTCTCCCCTCTCCCGCCCTCCTGTCTCCTCTCCCGCCCTCTACGTCCCCTCCTCCCTGCCCTCCCGTCTCCCCTCTCCTGTCCCCTACCCTCCCCTCCTGTCCTCCCCTCCCGCCCTGCCTGTCCCCTCTGTCCCTCCCTCTCCCGCCCTCCTGTCCCCTCCCTCTCCCTACTGTCCCTTCTCCCGCCTCCTGTCCCTCCCTCTCCTCCGCCTCCCTGTCCCTCTCTCCGCCCTCACTTCCCCTCCTCCCCCGCCTCCTGTCCTCCCTCCCCTGCCCTCCCGTCTCTCCCTGCCCCTCCCGTCTCCTCCCCTCCCTCCTCCTGTCCTCCCTCCCCTCCTGTCCCCTCTCTCCGCCTCTCGCTGTCCCTCCCCCGCCTCCTCTGCCCTGCTCTCCCCTCCTCCGCTGTCTCCCGGGCTAGAGCGCCGAGGCGTCAGCCTCACTCACAGCAGCCTCCAACACTCCTGGCCTCAAGTGATCCTCCTGCCTCAGCCTCCCTCCCGAGTAGCTGGGACGACAGGCATGTACCGCCATACTCAGGTCATTTCTTGAAATATTGTTCAAGTTGTCCAGCTCATTTCTTTCTATTTTTTTTATTAGAGACGGGGTCTCGCTCTCGCTCAGGCTGGCCTCCAACTCCTGACCTGGAGCCGATCCTCCCGCCTCGGCCTCCCAGAGTGCCGGGGTGCCAGGCGTGAGCCGGGCCTAAAACAGAATCTTAAGCTATTTGTCACCGTCCCTGGGAGCCAAACACGCTGGCGAGTAAACGCGTCGTCTGTTACCTCCGTTGCCCTAAATGTGGCCGCGAGGCCTCGTGCCTGCGCGTGTGCCTCTTGCATCACACGCAGGACTCCCGCTGCCGTGTGCGGCCCTCTGAGGCTGTAGCGGGGGGTGACGGTCGTGCGTCCTCTCAGCAGCGTGGCGATTCTCTTGTTGCCATTTTGAGACAGAGTCTCGCTCTGTTGCCTGGGCTGGAGAGCCGTGGCGTCAGCCTCGCTCACAGCAGCCTCCAACTCCTGGCCTCCAGCGATCCTCCTGCCTCAGCCTCCCTCCCGAGTAGCTGGGACTACAGGCATGCGCCACCACGCCCGGCTCGTTTTTTCTATTTTTATTTCTAGTTGGCCAACTAATTTCTTTCTGTTTGTAGTAGAGACAGGGTCTCGCTCTTGCTCAGGCTGGTCTCGAACTCCTGACCTCGAGCGATCCTCCCTCCTCGGCCTCCCAGAGTGCCGGGGTGACAGGCGTGAGCCTCCGCGCCCGGCCTTGTTTCTATTTTAAATGAAGCCCTTTAACGTTGTTCTCATGAAAGGACTTTTAATTTTTGCCAACTGGTGACCCAAAGGGAGCCTCTGTGCTGTTTTAGGGAAATACCTGGAACATTTCCATCGAAGGCGGGCCTCACCCCTGCCCCTCTCTGTTGACTGTGATAAAACGGAGTCCGGGTGACAGTTTTCAGGGAGAGGCGCGATCACTGAGCGTGTGGTGTCCAGCACAAAGCCCTGATTTTCTGGCATGCAGCTAGTCTGTCTTCCACTCTTGGAATGGAGCTACCCTCCCTCACAATTCGGAATATTAGTCCGGTAACGTAGTACTTTTCAAGTGAAAACAGGGCGCGTCCTGTGTGGTTTTCTGCTGTGTGTATTTAGGGCAGGCCCTCAAATGATGTCATTCCATCATGACATTGATGACAGAAACATTGACTCCTAGGCCGGGCGCGGAGGCTCACGCCTGTCGTCCCGGCTCTCTGGGAGGCCGAGGCAGGAGGATCGCTCGAGGTCGGGAGTTTGAGACCAGCCTGAGCAAGAGCGAGACCCCGTCTCTACTAGAAATAGAAATAAATTAATCAGTCGACTAAAAATATATAGAAAAAATGAGCCGGGTGTGGTGGCGCATGGCTGTAGTCCCAGCTACTTGGGAGGAGGCTGAGGCAGGAGGATCGCTCAAGGTCAGGAGTTTGAGGCTGCTGAGAGCGAGGCTGACGCCACGGCACTCACTCTAGCCCGGGTGACAGAGTGAGACTCTGTCTCAAAAAAAAATAAATAAGCAACGGAGAAAATTATAGAACTGCATAATTTTTACATTTGGTGTCTTGTCTTGTTATTTCTTTTCTTTTTTTTTTTTTTTTGCTCACAGCAGCCTCAGACTCCTGGGCTCAAGCGATCCTCCTGCCTCAGCCTCCCGAGTAGCTGGGACCACCGGCATGCGCCACCACGCCCGGCTCGTTTTTTCTATATATATTAGTTGGCCAATTAATTTCTTTCTATTTTCATAGTAGAGACGGGGTCTCGCTCTTGCCCAGGCCGGCCTCCAACTTCTGACCTCAAGCGATCCTTCTGCCTCGGCCTCCCAGAGTGCCGGGACGACAGGCGTGAGCCTCCGCACCTGGCCTTTGTCTTGTTATTTTTTTTTTTATTTTTTTTATTTTTATTTCGGCATATGATGGGGGTACAGATTTTAAGGTTTCAATACATGCCCATTTCTCCTCCTCCCCCTCGAGTCTGAGTCTCCAGCGTGACCCTCCCCAGACGGTGCACACGTGGCTCGCTGTGTGTGTCTGCACCCGCCCGACACCCTGTCACTGTGTCCCTGAGTGTCCCCGTGGGCGCTGTCGGTCAGCACCGGTTTGCGGGCGAGCACATGCGGCGCTGGGCTTTCCGTTCTTGGGAAATTCACTTAGCAGCGCGGGCCCAGCTCCACCCAGGGAAATACAAGACGTGCTGGGTCACCGTTGTTCCTTAGAGCTGACTAGCTCCACGGCGCACACGCCACATTTTATCAGCCCGGTCTTGGGTTGACGGGCACCGGGGCTGTCCCCACAGCCTGGCGACCATGGATCGTGCTGCCGTGAACATTCGGTGCGGGTGTCTTTTTCTTTTTTTTTTTTTTGAGACAGAGTCTCGCTTTCTTGCCCAGGCTAGAGTGAGTGCCGTGGTGTCAGCCTCGCTCACAGCAACCTCAATCTCCTGGGCTCGAGCCATCCTCCTGCCTCAGCCTCCCGAGTAGCTGGGACTACAGGCACGCGCCACCATGCCCGGATGATTTTTTGTATATATGTTAGTTGGCCGATTAATTTCTTTCTATTTCTAGTAGAGACGGGGTCTCGCTCTTGCTCAGGCTGGTCTCGAACTCCTGACCTCGGGCGATCCTCCCGCCCCGGCCTCCCAGAGAGCTGGGATGACAGGCGTGAGCCTCCGCGCCCGGCCTCGGGTGTCTTTCTCGCAGCGTGTCACTGGGCCCTTGGGCAGACGCCCAGCGGCGGGATGGCCGGCCAGACAGCAGTTCCACTCGTGCGGCCTGGAGGCGTCTCCACGTCGCTGTCCGCAGAGGCTGTGCCAGTCGCAGTCCCATGTCTCGCCATTTCCTGGCCCTCACACTCGCGAGTGAATTTCGACACGGAGTCCTACATGACTTCACGGATGAGACAACGGAGTCCTCCCGGCGTCCGCGCCTGCCCTCGGTCCCGCCGCCCTTCTCCCTCAGAACCGGAGTGTCCCCGCGGGCGATGACAGCGCAGCCCAGGATCGGGGCCTCCAGCCGCCACTGCCTGTGCGGACAGCCCCGGCCCCAGCCGCAGACCCAGCCTAAACCCCAGCCCCAGGCCCAACCCGAACCCCAACCACAACCCCAGCTCAGCCCCAACCCCAACGCCGGCCCCAACCCCAACACCAACCCGAACTCCAACCGAAGTCCCAACCCCAACCCCAAACCCAGCCCCAGCCGAAGCCCCAGCCCCAACCCCAGCCCCA